GCATATCCTGTTGAAACTAATCAACAATTTAATTTTCTTTTGGAAATCGGAGGTACCTTGCAGACATTAATATCAAGAATGTGCCTGAAGCTGCTTTACTCTGGAATATTGTCCAAAATCTCCAAAATTCCTCTACATAAAGTGACATATGTAAGTTTGGCTTCATCGGAGTACCTACAAACTAGAAAATTATATAAAAAGCTGTAATTCTGCTAGATTGGTAACTCTATACCCACATCTGTGATTTAGTTTCTCCTTCCATGATATGATTTGTTTTTCTAAGGGAGATAAACATGAAATCTGAGTTTTACTTGAAGTTCTTCTGAATTGCAAGATAGAATAAAAATTATAAAAAGGATTTTGTGCAATGGCCAAAATGTAAAATGCTCTTAGGTTTCAAAAATAAACACTTCTTACTCAATTGGTCTTTTACTTTGAACTGTGACCTACATATTATAAAAGTAATAAAACCTTCAGATTTTCAAAATTGGAAGATAAATTCTCAGAAAGGCAGGCCCCTTGCATTGTATCATTGCTACATTCTAACTAACCATAGATACTGTAAAACAAATATATTTTTTAGAAGTGCAAAAATATACTACTAAGAAATAAGATATTTATATTTTAATTCTTTAAAGATTTATTTATTTGAGAGGGAAAGAACAGGGAGGGAGGGGCAGAGGGAGAGGGAGAGAGAGAGAATCCCAAGTAGAGCCCCTCTGAGCACAGAGCCAGACATGGGGCTTGATCTCATAACTCTGAGATCATGACCTGAGCTGAAATCAAGAGTAGGATACTCAATGAACTGAGCCACCCAGGTGCCCCAGACATGAGGCACTTATATTTGCTTATAATATGTTGTTAGGAAATTATAGAGCAATTTATATAAAACTTTCATAATTTCATTGTAGTAATTCAGTATGTTATTTTACACTGATACCTGAAAAATGAATGAAAAAGTAAATGAAAAACAGTATAATGTAAAGAAAAAATGACAAGTGCTATTCCATTATCTTCCTGTATGTTGTGTTGTCCATGATTGGTCGGTATCCCTCTATTGTTCCTTTTTTGACCAATATTTTTTTTTTAGCTTGGAAAACTTTTATGAGAACTATTTCTAAATTCATAATTATTACCTTATCTTTGTAGCACATTTTTTTTCAGAATGTGTCCAGATATTCTATTTTGTTTCATTCTTTCTGCATCAGGATAAGCCTTTTTGATTTGCATGCTTTGATCCATTTTCAGTCAGGTTCACCTTGAACACCATTGTTACTCCACGTTGGATTTTCCCGGGACTTACATCTAAATTGATCTTCCTTTGTCACCTTTATTTGACATATCACACCCATTCACTGGGCTGGCTTCCTCCCATCATCTGCACCTGTCTCCATCCCATCAGGGTATGTACCTCCTTTTTTGTGTACCTCCTTTTTGTTCTTCTACCCTGTCCCATCCTACTGAAGCTAATTTTAATGATATGTGATGTGTGATATCAATGTTACCTGAGAGAAATCTCTTTAGCCATCATAATAAGCAGGACACTGATACATATTAACACAAAAGTCCGATATCATTTCTGTTTTTGGTCTGACCTCTTAATAAGCATAATATGTCTAAATTTCGTCAAGATTGAGAATTTTATGTCTCTGTCTTGCAGAAGTTAATCTTGAATGCAATCTGATTTTTGTATTAATTCTATTTATGTTCTCCTTATCAACATAACACCTGAACATGTTGGGAACTATTCACAATGTAAGTTTTACAATTTGCAATTTCACATGAAGAGATATAAGACGTGTCCTACAGCAAAAGCTGAGTTGAACAGAACACATCTTACACTCATGGGGACAGGGAATCCTTTGCTATACAATTCTTATTTCCCACCTGCCAAGCACACTTTGGGAAATGTTACCCTAGAGAAAGCTCTTTAACCATTACGATAAGCAGAAAGAAGCTAACATATACTGAACACCACCTGGTGCCAAACATTACATATTTGATATAGTTGGTTTTTACAAAAATCTTCTGATAGTGTTTTCTTATTATCCTTTTTCAGTTATGGAAGTTGAGATTCACTAATTTAGGCACACTTGTTCACGTTCACAGCTGGTACAACTAGGAGCAGAATTTGTATCTGACTCCAAATCCCATGCTCTTTCTACAAAATTTTGCTATACCCATTCATTACATTCTTTTTATTAAAGTGGATTTCTTGAAGGATTTGGGATAAAAGCTCTTAAACTATCTTGACTACTTCTATTGGAAAAAAACCAACAACAATAAACCAAAAAACCACAAAAACCCATTTTTACCTGTTTATCTTTTCATTTTACTGGGAAGCAACTTAGCACATGCTGTCTCCTCAGTTTGCAGAGGAGGTGAAGGAGATAGATGTTGAATTATTTGGTGATGAAGCAAGAAAGAAAGTCCAAAGGAAAGTTAAAGATTTGCAAAATAGTGTTAATGATAATTTTCTTTAGGAAAACATTAATTTATGTCAGAACATTGGCTCTCTACCTGTATTTTTAAAAATCCATTTTAACTTTGAAAATTTTCTTAATAATTAATCTATATTCTGGGATTAGCCTTTAATGTTTTATGGGGAAGATGGATTTTTGTCATATTGCTAGAACCTTATTGAACTAAGAATAATATAAAAAGAAATTAAAGGCTAGTTTTCCTTTTGGAGAAAATGATTCTAGATTTTGCTAATTATTGAAATAATACATTTTCATAAAAAAAACCTTATAAACTTTTGCTAGAGTACTTGACTATTGTAATATTTTGTTCATTACAAATTGCCAAATTCTGACTGTCTTCTGTGCTTTACATAAAAATATGATACTTTTAAAGACATAGAAAGGCCAAAAAATATGTTGAAAATTAAAAGGAGTTTCACTCTCCTGGCTTCAGTGCATCCTCCCTACAGCTGTTAGAATACTTTTCTTTAGACAATAGAAAGAATGGAAAGTGCCTCTGTTTCTTTCACGTGACCCATCATTGCACACACATTTTTATAAAATCAAAGCAAATTTCTAGTAAATGACATTGACAAATAATAATATCCAAAACAGATATTCGATCAAGATGAGAAAATACATGTAGAATTGATCAATTATCTAAAAATGTGCTGACTCAATTTTGAAGCCATTCAGGATACCAAGGTGCTCTTCCAAAAATTAAAAATAATAAATGGAATGGGCGTTTGGAAACCAAGAAACAAACAAATCTCTCTCAAACTCATTTTTCTTCTACTTCATCATAGCCAGATCTGCCTACAAATGTGTCTCTGAGTAGAGGTGGGGAGGAGGTGTCATTTAAAAAAAAAAAAGATTTATTTATTTATTTTAGGGGAGGAAGGTAGAAGGAGAGGGAGAGAGAGTCTCAAGCAGACTTCATGCTCAGCACCAAGCCCCATGCAGGGCTTGATTTTTACAACCCAGAGACCATGACCCCAGCTGAAACTAAAAGTCAAAAGCCCAACTGACCACATCAATTAGGCACGGTAAGGGGGGTGCTCATTCTTCTTGCCAGCCGTGTGTGCAAGTGTGTGTGTGTGTGTGTGTGTGTGTGTGTGTGTGTGGTTGACTGATGTGGGTCATCAAACTTCGGCTGCAAGTAGGAGAGAGGTTCCCTCACAGATGTGCAAATTGAAATTGCTACTCCATCCAAGCACACTCCTGCCAGTCAAGAGCAGACTCAGGAAAATCAGTTAATAAGATGGATTCTCTCAGCAAATTAATTCTCAGTAATAAGTTAAGCACCTCAGGAGGTCCTAAGGGTGGGGTTTAATTTACCAAACAGTATTTCCTGAGCCTCATAAATTGTGTCTTCCTTCTGATATTGTAATGAAATAAAATCAAAGGAGAGTAGAGAGAAGTCATTTTACAGTATATATTTATACTTACACTTAAAATAATTCGTGCAATACACAAATTAGTGAAATTCACACATTCCCACAAACATTAAAAGTCTCATATCACTCAGCAATTACTGGCAAATTAATGGGTTCTAGATCTCAGCACCATTGCTTTCTGTAGGAGGCTTAAAATGGAGTTTGTCAGTATTCTTGGCAATATATTACACACACAGGGATTTGAAGTAAATTTTAAAAATAGCTTTATTTTCCGGAATTTTCCATTTGAATAAATCTACCAGTCACCAGGAGAAAATGGAGGCCAGTGTGTAGGTAAGATGGTAGAGGCAGAGCGTGTTGTTTTGTATTTGTGGTGTGTATGTGTAGCATGTGTGGTGTGCATGTGTATGCGGAGTATGTGATACATGTGCATGTGTGGGGTATGTATGTGTGGTGTGTCTGTATGTGATGAGTATGTGTGTCTATATATGTGGTGTGTGTGGTGTGTCTGTATTTTGTATATGTGTGTGTGTGCATGTGGCATATATGTGTATGCGATGTGTGTATATGGTGTGGGTGGTTTGTATGTAAGTGTGGTGTGAATGTAGAGTGAGTGTGTGTGTGTCTGAATTGTGTGTGCTGATAGAAGTTTCCAATTCTATAGAATCACAAAAGCTGGGAGTATAATTTTTCCCCCAGAACACCTTTCTTCCTTGGACCAAAACACTAATGGGAGTGATGAGGTAGGTATGTAAGAAGGAAATGAGGGAAGAGAAATTATTTCTAGAATTACTAAAAGTGGGGATTATAGCAAATATTTCCTTTTCATTTGAGCTGTATAATTGGAGGTTAGGCAATTCTGAGCCAGCAAAGAATGGATTGTAGCATAGCTGCAACAGCAATGCAACAAGATTCTGTATCTCCTTTGATTCTAATACGTCGGGGTCCCTGGGAAGATGGAAAGTAAAATGGCAAAAATGAAAAAGGGGCAAAGGGAAGAATAAAAGGTGCTAAATCACTCTGCCCTCCCCTCCAAATATGGACTCAACCAAAAATAGTGCATAGAGACAGAGGCAGTGTGTGATATTTTATGCTGCCTAGACATTTTTGAAAATAAGTAGGTATTCATTCAATGATTTTTGTGCTCACTTAGGCAGCACATATACTAAATTAGAATGATACAGAGAAGATTAAAGTGGCCCCTGAGTAGGGATAACACACAAATTGGTGAAGTGCTCCATATTAAAATAAAATAAAATAAAATAAAATAAAATAAAATAAAATAAAATAAAATAAATTGTTACATTGAATTATTGAGTAGGGAGGTCATATGTCTTTCAGATTTGATTTCACCAGTGACCAAGCTACATTAAAAGTATTGATACATGAGAGCAACCATTCCGACCCATACTTAAACCATGTAATGCACTTTAACGTTAAGTGATAGACCTCAGTAAAGAAACTAAAGAAAATCACCTGGAAGTATGTTCATGCTTAATAATATTAGCAATTTAGCCTGGAATATCTTTTTGTTGATAAGTAAAATAGAGAAAAAAAATATACGCTAGTAGCAATAGAAGTTGGCCTAACTCCCAGATTTAACCAGTTCTTTTTGACTTCATGTCACAACCAAGACAAGGTGAATACACCTTTTTCTTCATGTGATGCCTTCAAGATAAAATTCTCCATGATCATCAAAAACTTAAAATGTGCCCGGGACTTACATTTCCTAGATAAAAGAGACTGTGTGATATGACTTCCTCTCCTTTCAAAGGGACACAACTATTCCTCACATAATTTCCACAAATTGTGTGTGATAATGAAGCAAGTGCCACAGCTGAGGATCACCCTTACAATGCGCTGAGACAGAAGTCCCCAAACAAATGATTTGGGGAAAGGGACACAGGAGGGACTGGCTGGCTCTTGGGCCAGAGCTGTAGAAATCTGTCTTCTTGTAGAAATTCTGTCTTTTGTTGCACTCTGATCAAGGGGTCCTCTTCCCACATTTGCAGTCACCCACTGGGAATTCAAATTAAATTAGGTCTCACTTAAATTGGAGTTTTTCCCATTACATTAGCATTTGCATAATCTTGCCAATGTTTGCCAACTTGCTAATTAATAATAGGATGACTTCAGTAATAGTAATAGGATGGTTAAATCATGTTTTATTGCTGTTGGATTGACCTAGAATGAGTCCATCAAAGGGTACTTCTTGTATGTATGTTGTTTTTATTCCAGTAGGCACATCTCAGTTGGCAAACTGAATCCACCACTAAAAGTTGTTATTGCAATGGCTTTTCCACTAATCTGAAGAAATGGAAATTAAAAAAAAGTTTTGATGAAACTGACTTGTAAACCCCATTGTTTTTCTAATTCACTTACGCTGAAGTATTGCTCAAGAATGATTTGTCTCATCGCTTCTCGGCCTTTTGGCTAAGATCAAGTGAAGAATGATTTGTCTCTTTAATAAGTAGCAGCAAAAACAAAGCTCTAGAGAATTAATGTAACAGAAGGATAATTCTTTCTCAGGAATTATCTTTCGAGTAGCCAGACTGAGGCTGAAAGTATTTAACTTTCTAAGGCTGGTTCACCTTCCTGTTACACAAAGCTGCAAGTATACTCAGAAGTTGAGAAAGGAAAAGAGTCTGAGCTGGAATTAAGTAGTATAACTTCTGGAGGCTGGAGCTAGACAGTTTCAGCAGTATGTTGGATTGCTTTGTTTGACTGTAGGTTCAGCAGATGCTCCTGGTTTTCTTTAGGTGCTTGCAGGATTACAGATAGCTGTGGATCTCACACTCCTGCTATACATCTCCTCACAAAGAGGATCTCCAGTTGGTCCTAGCAGAAACCATATTAAATGGATGAACATAATACTTTTAAATCTGCTTAGTCTTTCGACGTCTGTCAAGTCACTGTATAATTTAATTGCAATACAATTTGGATATTGAAATGAATGAAAAATTTCATTTTTCATTTCCATAAGTTTGAGGAGTCAGCTGTGTTATTCATCAATAATTACTCAAATCCATAGGAAGAAAAAGCAGATTTCACCACAAATCCATGTGTCTCCAAACTACTACTGTAAGCACATATGAATGCAGCAAAGCCATCATCATCAGACTATGGTTTTATCTTTCATAATCTATTCCACCTAAAAATGAAGGAGGCTCACAATTTCTCACCACGTTAGAGGAATGATCTGTTCAGAGCATAGTTTTGAGGTGAACACTTTATTTAGACTGAACCATTCATTTAGTTTAAGGAAGTATATACGCCTCCTCAGCCCTATCCATAGGTTCACCAAGGCCAACAATCATGAACACAGTATCTAGTCAAACTGGCTAAAGAACCAAGCCCTACAAAAACAGTGGGAGCCATGTCACACATTTACAACTGCTGAAACTTTTCCCCCAGGGAATAAATATTTCAATCAACACAGAACATCACTGCACCAAAAGTGAAGTTGCTGAAATCACGAGATAGTCTCTGTAAATCCAACAGCAATGTGCTGAAGAAAGTTTCAAAGAATGGTACGTAATTCATCTGCCAAATCTCATTTCGAGGAAACTGGAAGTTGTGTTTGGTTTGTAATACTGGCTTCTCAGACTTGATCAGGATCTTAGCTGTCACAAGTCTTTTCCTTTATCCATGCCAAATAACGGTCACTGTGCACAAATAACGGAGCTGATGATGTGCAGTTGTGCAGACACAAGCCACCAGCAAAAAGAAAAATGAGAGCCCTCAGCCAAGCTCTCCCTTTGCCCGTATGCTCCTCCACTTGTGTGTACTTCTACTGTTTGACTTTCTTTTCTGAAGAGAAACCTATGAAAAAGAGCAGGAAAATGTTTCAGATTAAAAATTAAAAATTCATTTCTCTTCTGGCTCAGGGCTAACATAAATTTTGAGGCTAGCAAAAAAAAAAAAAGAAATATTTTATTCATAAGCTCCCACAAGTTTACACTGAGAAATAAAGAGGCGGGAAATGGAGGGTTATTATTTTAAGCGTTGACATATGCTTACCACTTTGTGAAATCAGCTGTGGCCTAGTTCTACTCATGCCTGAAGAGGAATATTCTGTGCTACTTCTTATCTTTGCTGGCATTTTGGTGGCTGAGGCATTTGCTTATGAAGGTAAGTCATATATGTTACTATTAGGCTTAGTACTTAGTCCCCAGAAAGATAACTACGACATAAATTACTTTAAGTACGGTGAAGGGTACGTTATTGCCAAAGCAATAGAAAAGATCACAGTGCTTAAGATGTGTTAATGTGCCATGAAAACCAATATGAAAACGTCATACATTTCAATGAGAGAGGGATAGAATGCCACAAATGAGCACTATCGGGAAGACAAAATTGGATATCTACTCATGATGACAGATAAAATAAATAAATTTCAAGAAATAAGGTATTTTCCTATTCATGTTAGCAATTTAGAATATGTAAAATGTTTTATACCTGCTGCGCTGTATTTGGTATTTTAGATACACAAACATTTAAAGTAACTGACAGTTTCCGTTCCTGGCTTAGAAAAAAATACTCTTCTAAGATAAAAAGGTATCTAATATGGTGAGAGCATAAATTTGGATCCAGAAGCATAATCCACAGGTCTAAAGTCTAAAGTTTAGATTTAATCCATTTATGATATCTACCCATATGTATCTTAACACATCAAAAGTTAATTCCTCTGTAGCTCTTAAAGCACTCTTGTGGGGATCCCTGGGTGGCTTGGCGGTTTAGCGCCTGCCTTTGGCCGGGGGCACGATCCTGGAGTCCTGGGATCGAGTCCCGTGTCAGGCTCCCGGCATGGAGCCTGCTTCTCCCTCTGCCTGTCTCTGCCTCTCTCTCTTTATGTCTATCGTGAATAAATAAATAAAATCTTTTTTTAAAAAAAGGACTCTTGTGAAATAGGTAGAGAGGTAAAGGTCATTATCCCCATGTTTTAGACAGAGAGAGGTTGTGACCTACGAGGTAATCCATGGCAGAATGGAAATGTGAACAAAAGCAAAAACAGGATTTCAGTTCCTTGAAGGGAAGGCAGAGTGTCCCCCTGTGTAGTGAATATGGGAAGAGATTTCTGTCATCAGACTTGGCTGCACGGTTCTAATGGCAGGGCAAGAGAAACACCACTAGGGAGTTGTGGGTTCTTGTGGTGCTAGACACAGTCCGATTTGCCTAATTCGTTGGTAAAGAATTCCACTCACTAATCATGTGCCTTATTATTTATTAATGGTGTATGTAAAAAAAAGCACTCTATGCTTTTATGTTCACAAAAGTGCAGGTTAAGTAACATGTGACTAAAGTGATCTGAACAGGACCCAGAGATCTTGGTGTCAGAGGCCATCAGGGACTGTTTGAATCTGAAGTCCCCTCTTAGGGTGCAGCAGAAGGGTTCAAGGGGGACCGTGCTCTCTACATGCCCACTCACCTCAGAATGTGGATGCTTATGCATCAACAGTAAGGAAATATAGGTAAGTAAATATTTTTCCCAGTTGGGATGAAATATGTAATAGAAACCTCGTTTCCCTACAGATTTTTATCTTTCATTTAAGAGAAATACTGTGATTTTATCCACCTAGTGGAAATGTGAATAGTCTGGCCTTATTGCGTGCAGTTTTCTCATCTAGGCTCTATCTATCTATAGAACCACAATCTACATAGAATGTTAATCAGGATGTTTAGTCTTTGCTTATCAATAGATGTCTGCTTAGGAATATATCTGCTACCTATATTTTCATATGTCCTTATACATATAAATAAACATTTACATTTTATGTAATATTCCCTTAGCAAAATCTCTTAGTTTACCAATAAGCCAATCTTTTTAGCATTATAAGGTGAGGATGCATTTCTCCTGCAGTTCTTCTCTAAAAATCTAGAAGTAGGCATTAAACTATCTGTCTCTTTTGACTAATATTTTTATTAACTGATGGTAAGATAATTAAGTAATGTATTTTATAAAAGAAAAAATATTCTTAATATTTTATCCATCTGTATTGAAAATCACACAAGTATAGTCTCTAAGTTTCGTCTGTTTCTTACATCTCTTAAGTAGCTTCTGCTATTTACACTGGCTCCTATATTTCCTCATACTACCAGGTGCTGAAAAAAATCCAACTAGTCCTGCCATTTTACCAATGTAAAATTATTTGTAATGTTCAGTTATAAAGACAGTTATTGGGACGCTTGGGTGGCTCGGCGGTTGAGCATCTGCCTTTGGCTCAGGATGTGATCCCAGGGTTTGGGATTCAGTCCCACATCAGGCTGCTAGTGGGGATCCTGCTTCTCCCTCTTCCTGTGTCTCTGCCTCTCTCTCTGTGTTTCTCATGAATAAATAACTAAAATCTTTAAAAAAATAAAGATAGTTATAAACAGACACAAACTTAGAAACAAAGATTCTGGCTTTCAGGATAGGGCCATTAGAATTTACTTAAATAAAATACATGTAAATGATGACACTATTATATTTTAAAGTATAACATGGGTTGTATATTGTTTAGTGGTTACAGTGTGGGCTTTGGAGGTAGACTGCCTGGCTTGTTTATGTTCTAGCCAATAACCAGCTACATGGACTTGGACAGGTGACATTATCTTCTGTTCCTAAGTTTCCATAATTTTAAAACTGGAGCATCAGTAGTACTCATCTCATAGAGTTGCTATAAGGTTTTGATGAGATTATATATAAATATATACGGCACCTAAAATAGTTTCTGGCATGTGATTAGTGTTATGGGTTGAATTGTGTCCCCTCACCTCAAAAGATATGTGTATGTCTTAACGCCTGGTACCTGTGAATGTGACCTCATTTGGAAATAGGACTTTGCACACATAATCAGGTTAACATGAGATTATACCAGATTAGCCTAATCCAATGAGACTGGAGTCCCTATAAGAAGATGAAACTTTGGACACAGACGCAAACACTAGGGAAGACGGCCATGTGAAGAGTGAGGCAGAGATTGGAGCTGTGATACCACAAGCCAAAGAACATCTGGGGCTACTAGATGCAGAAAGAGGCAAGGAAGGAGCCTTCCCTAGAGGCTCTGGAGTGAGTATGACCCTGCCAACACCTGTATTTCAGACTTCTAGCCTCCAGAGTGTGAAAGGATAAATTTCTGCTGTTTTCAAGCCACCTCATTTTTGATACTTGGTTATGGTAGCCCTAGGAAATGAATTCAGTCAGTATTCAGTTAATTAGTTATTACTAGACACTAGTAAAGGCCAATTATAATAGTTGGGCTTTGATCTTCTATATTGTAAAGAAATAATTATGTTTGCTCACAACATACTCTCACATGCCTACATTTCATGTCTTTCCAAATATGTAAGACTTGAGCTCTAGCTCATTAGATGAAGTTCAATTCTGCACCATATGAAAAATCTGGAAGGTGGAGAGGTGACTGGCATGCCATGTAGTTAGAAAACATAGCCTTTTGACATTTCACAAAGGAAGAAATAAAACAACATGCTTTCAACGTTATACTAATTCTACTATGCCATAATTGTTCTAGAAACATGGAAGTCATTTTGCATCCCATTCTGATAACAGATTAAATGAGATTAATATGTTCTTCATAAAATCACCATGTTTCTAAACAGAAACTGTAACCCCTTAACATCTGTAGGCTTCGATATATAAAAATACCATTACTTAGTCCTGTGCAAAGAGAAAGCCAAGTAAGTCTTAAATGTCTTGAAAACCTTTCTTTAAATCTTCAGTGTTTGAAAAAGGAGTTAATTTCCATTGTGTCTGCAAAGCATTCTAAAATAACCAGAGATAGTAACTGAGAGCAAAGCTGAAAATTAGTTGACCCAAAGATTGTTTAGTAGTATTCAGTAACTGTTGACTTTAATCTTTGGCCAGCAAGCTTTCATTAGGTCCCCACTTTAAGAGGACCCTGCTCTGACCCTCCTCCAGCCACCTTCCCCTCCAGTATGAGTCTGCCTTCTTCTAGAACAAGCTCTTGGTACTCACATGCAGACCCCAAAAGTCTTGCCCAAGTCACCCTGTTTCTGCTTCTAGGCCTCATGTGGTCGTCTTTCTCAGGCCTGAAATCAAGGGGTGCTGTTTGTAGCATAAGGAGGGGGTATATGGATGAAGTTGGGATGTGCCAACTGGGCTACACTCAAATTCACACTTAAGATCCCGCCCAGTTGAAAGATGAGAAGAGAAGGTGGTGGGCCATGGCTCAGGTCTTCCTGTGCCACTGTGTCTTGTAACAGAACTGGTTGGAATGTGAGCATTTTAAAATTTTACTCTGCCCTTCTAGGTATGTTTATCAATAGGGGGATAGTCTATAATAACTTCTATGCTTGATTCATGACATTTAAATATTTAGCCTCAAGTATGCAACTCTCCACATATTCTTGTCTCAGGCTCTAGGAATATTAAAGGAGGATCTAGTGGTATTATAGCAATTTAATCACTCATTACCCACTGTACTTTTAAAAATCACAAGGTTACTGCTCTACAAACACTTCATGTATAGTTGTCAGCGCCATTATCTCAGGTTAGATTACCATAAAAGGAAAAATTATAAGGATAGATACTAGGATCAAAATATAACGTGCTATATATATTGGGATCAGAAAAGTAAAATTTGTCGGGAGTCATAGGAAATTAATAAAAAATGAGAGCTAGGACAATGTATAAAGCACACATACAAATTAATATTCATTTTAATATCCATATTTCTGAAAGGGTCATTTCATTTAAATACAAGTAAAATACTTCAGGACTTATTATATGAATAAAGCTTATAAGAGTTTAAAAAAAGTTTCTGTTTATAATTTATCAGAAACAGAGCCTAATTTTTCCACTAATTTTTTCTTCCATTGTTTGAGTTTGGGTTTTTAAAGCCCAAAACACAGGGTATGTTGGCTAGCAGTATATTCCTGAATAGTGAAAGGTAAATATATTAGCCAAATAGTACGACAATGAGTAGTATCATAACATAAATGTCTGTATAATAAAAAGATTTCTAAATTCATATTTGATAATATCACAAAGTTACTTTTATGGATTCTGAGCAGTTTAGTTGGATGTACAAATCAAAAGGAGCTTTTCAATTAAACGAGATAGAAGAAGAATCCACCGAAATTAAATAATGGAACATGAGAGATTCTTTTGACAGGGGTGATTTCAGAGCTTTTGTCAATTTTTATGAACTGGTTGGAACCTTGAAATAGCATCAGCTTTGGAAGTAGCTGATTGTGTTTCTCCCCAAGTAGACAAAAATCAGTGGGTCATATACACTGACTATAATATTCTATTTCTGCATATTTTATTTAGTTTATGAAGGTTATCACAATTCATTTCTACTTTATATAATTATTAGCTTCTATTACACTGGTCCAAGAAGAACCTCATAGTGATGCATAAACATCTTTATGATATCACTAAATTCTCTACTGCATAATTATATTTTTTAGTGATTAAGCTCCAACTCAGGGAGAAAATATCTTTAATATTCATTCCAGACCAACGTAATATGAAGTGGAAAATTATTACTGGGTGGCAGCTCAGCTATTATATAACAATGGATTTCAAAAACACAGGCATTTTGCAACAATTATTATGGTTAATAGTATGCCTTTCTAATAAAAGCTCTCTATTATGGCTGGAACCCGAGAACTTCATTAAAACCAATGGTTATATTCATAGTAGAAAGAAAAGAAAAAAAGAATCTTAACAGTTTTCTGATAAATTCCTAGACATTCTTTAATAGAGTTCTCACTTTTTATCTTTCTTCTCTATAATGTTTCTGTAAGCTAGGTCTTTGCCACTCCTAGTGCTGCTGTGTATAGCTGTCCAGGTTGTGTATTGCACCAACCCTACGAGGCTCCATTTACACAGACTACCGTGAAGAATTCCTTGGACTTATGAAGTACATAACTTGCAAAACTACATGTGTTACCCCTGGTTTTCTATTTCCTCTCCATAATAGGCTCCTTGTAGTAAAATCTAGAATTCTATGATCTCAAATCTGAACTAAATGAGACCAAGTTTCAAGAATGGCCTGAAATTGGAATATGGCTCATCTTCAACTTTTCTAGATAGATTAAAATCTCTGGATATTAACAACATACAGTCACAGGTGTGTGTCATATAAGATTTTTAAACATGGAGCAGACATGGCTGACTTTTGATCATATGTGATGAGAATAGAGGTGGGATTGTGGTTATAGTCCATTCCTGGGTGGCCTCATAAGACCACAGAAACAAAGCAGTAGAAAGTATAGCAGATTCTGGAAAGAAGAGAAGAATGATAAACCAAAGAAAAATAAGATAAAAGAGTACTTAGTTGTGAGTACTTTATCACTGAATTTTTAGGTTTTTTTTTTTTTCTTTTTCCAGCATACTTAGAGGCGGGTGTTGTGGGCTACCTTGGCCTAAACTTGGAGTCTGACATTTAGTCATTAGGGAATACAGTTCTGAGTCTTTGGTTTCCTCTGTCTGTCTGCCAGTGACATTTAAAACATCTGTCTAGCAAACTCAACCTGGAATAGTGGATGTGCATCTGCCCTTTGTAGTGGAATCCCAGAGCTTTGTTGTTGTTGTTACAGTATAGCTCTACTTGAAGTTTTCATTTCTAGCCCCAGATGGAATACTGACTCTGAGACTGGAATAGGAGCAGAAGCCAGAGCTGAGATCCCAGCAATTCTGCATTGAACATTTTCTTTTTTCTTAAGGAGTTCAAGTTAACCCCAGGTGCATCAAATTAGAGTTGTGTATGCAACACAACTTTATTGAAGGCCCTCCCCAAGTACAAATGAATGTATGTTGAGTAAACATCCCAAAAAGACCCCATTAAAATGTAAACATGAAAGAATGCTCGATACAGCTGTGGTCTTACCATTCGCCTTGTGCTGCACATCTGGCGGAAACTGGTCAGGAGCATACCACTGATAGTCTGGCTGTGTGGAACAATAAAACATTATTATAGCAATATGGACTTCAAACAAAACATAGTGGCATATTAAAAATATAATTATACTATGTGGCTTTTATTACGCAGGCAACACAAAAGTCGTTTCTATCCAAACCTGTTGCCAATCACGTTCATGTCTCTTACCTCCTTCATCACTATCCCCATCTCCCAACACTCCCCCACCATCCACTCTGTGTTGGCCAGAATTTCTCCTACTTTGGGGTTGTGGCATTCTTTTTTAAGCAGATGTGTTTTGGATATCTGCAGAAGTATAAACACTTCTGTAAAGCTTACTATAGCTCATAAATAAAACAAAGCAGATTACCATCAATAAATACTATGTTTAAAGTCCTCACACAGGAGGCAACAGAAAGACCAAAAGAACAATGACAAGTTTAGTGTTCTCTGGTACGAGGAAGAAATCTAAGCCATTAGGTGCGGACATGGCAGGAATGGCAAAGTAGGGCAGATCTTTTTCCCTTCCTACTGTTCCTCCACAGAAAGTACTCTCTAGATTGTTCAAATGGTTTAGACTAGAGAGGCAGTGAGAGGTAAGGGCAGACTTGGATTTTTCTTGTGGGATTTTCTTCTAGGCTTCACCAGTTAAGAAAACCTAGATATTGAACATCAGGGAACATGTAAGATAAACTGCTGTGAACAAATCATAAGCTACAGGCCCACATTTTAAGATACAGTTCCAAGACGAGTACCTCTGTATTTAACCACTTGGAACAGAGCAATCTCAGCTTCACCTGCCCATGAGGATGGTCTGTCTTCCTGCTCCCAATGCTCACTCCTACCTCCTCCTTCCCCCCAACACACAGAGAATACAGACCTTTTGTTCTATTAATCAATTACCTACTGAAAATAACTCAGGAAAAATGTCTCTACCAATGAGCCAACAGGGAGCATTTACAGGGCTGCCAGACCACTGAAAGTAGCCTTAAAGTTCAATTATCTGACAAGACACTAAGAAATGCTGCAGTAAGTACAGTGTGACCCCACTTTACCCCCACTCAGACACCTAGGCTCTTGGCTCCTTTTGGTCCATGAAAAAGCTAAAAGAGGAAATGAGATCACCTCTGTTTTTTATCTCCTCGTTTATTTTTAGATGTCTCAAATAACACGTAGGATAAGTGACGTGAGCCTCAGTTTTAGATTCCAGGAGAGTTGCCAAAAGAAGGCAAATATACTGTAATTTTACAAACACCACTGCTTGTGCTTTAATTCAGGCTTAGAAATAAGCATAAAACATGAAATATTCTTTAAAAATGAAATCCGAGAGTTAAATTCTACTGTTATACCAAGATTCTTTTTAACTGAATACTGCTTAAAAATGTAGGACATTGTACATGGCTTGGAACCTTTTCAAATACAGACCTTTATTTGGTGATAATTTTACATGGTCTGGACCACTTTACTTCTTATAATTGATCAGGAAAGTTTGATGAGCTTTTATAGTAGGTAAATTTCTGCCTTCTTTCCATAAATGAGAATTTGAAGAAAATAGTCATTTTTCCTTCCAGATAAACTTGCATGACTCATTGGTTTTACAGTTAACCTTTCACAAGAATATTTCTCCATTTCCCCAACCTGTAGGAGCTAACTCCAAAGTAAACTTCTATCTCTTTATGTTCCCCACAATATTAATTTAGTTCTACATTCTGAAAAAGAATTTTAAGGAATGATAGCTGTATTTGGGGATTCCCAGAAACGGTTCTGGTAAAGACTGAAAAGTAAGCAAACAGGTAAAGAAAAAAGGAAATGGGGCGGGTGAGCAGACACAAGTGACAATGGGCAACAACACAAAAAGAACCAAATTCTCAGCAGTGTGCCGTGTCACACCAGGGTCAAATAAGCGATGCTCATTAAATTCTGACATCCCTCTGCCACCCAGAGAGTCATTACCTCCTTCCTTGGGAAAAGGGCTTTGAGTCACACTCAAATACAAAAGTATGGCAACCAAGAGAATCATGATCTCCATAGTGCTCTGCTAGGAAAAATCCCAGTTAAAATCTCAAGATTCTTTGCATAATTAAAAACACAGTTAATAAAAATTGAGGGGTAGGAGAGTTGTCTGAGCATTTCCAAAATGCAGAAAAACACAATATTTTATTTTCATATAAGGCTTCTATGTAGCCAAAACACAAAGTAGAGACCAGTATTCTAGACAGTGGGGGAGGGTGGATGAAATAGTGCTATGGAGAAAGGAAGGAAGGTTGCTTTGGTGCTGACTTATTCAGGTTGACTGTCCAAATCAATTCCACTCACAAATAATTGCTCCACTGTTCATTTCATTTTGCCTGGCTAGACAGAGCCACAGAGAGCAACTTAAGTGGGTCACTTTTTCTTGGATCCTTTAAGAATATCCTTTTAATTGGAAGATGTCAAACACTATATTGCACAGATGTAGCAATATCCATAGTAGTTCAATATAAGTTTACAACCGAAAAAGGCGTCTCTCAGACTTGCCATATTCGTTTTGCTTTTCCCTACACACAAAAATGCCCTTTTGGAAGGGTCAGGTACACCATCTAAAATGGCCCATATAAAATATTGTATGTTCGTTCAAGGAATTACAGCTTCATTTGATACTGTTCAGTTAATTTATTTGTATCCATGTGTGTCCTGTGAGTGCATGTCCCAAAAAAGATAATTATAGTGTACATTGACCACTGCAACTCTGTAAATTTGAGGCTGAGATAGAAAGAGGTTCCTTCTGTGGACAATAGTATGTGCCCAAATTATAGAGACAGCATTTCTACCAAAATGGAAAAAAAAAATACTAGGACTTATTAGATAATATAAGGACTTCTATGTCGCAATGCAAGCTCTTACTTACTGGGTGCTTCTGTGGATCCTGGGCAGTCCCCGGGCCTGCTGGTGCACATGGATCCCGCAGGTGGAAATTCAAGCTGCAGCTACAGATTGGCAAATACACCTGAGGAGGATAATGTTGTCAGTTCACTGGAAGTGGGTGAAACTGGAGAGTCACCTGACACTTGCTTTATACAACCACAGACAGGTTTGGCTTCATTCTCCAGGTTCAGGCTAACTCTCACGTAATCCCAGCTCAACATAGTGGGCTTGTGGGTGTAGACTCGATACGGGCAGAGATGAGGCTAACTGGGCATATTTCACTTAAGGTGAAACTCTAATTAGCTCTTCGTGTTGAAGACATTAGAAACACTTAAAAGGTATAAGGTTCACTTTATGTCTCTGAGTTATCTTCACAGAGGGTCCCTCCCTTAAGAAGAACCAGCCACTAAGCCATAAGACAAGTTTTCTTAAATTGTAGTCAGAGACTCCTACAGCATAACTTAAGTCCAGAGAGAGCATTAAGAATTCAGAGAAATTAATATTCATTCTGAAGGCTACTAGAGAACCAATGGGATGGAACACTGCTGTGCCCAAGAAGATACTGTATTTTCTCAAAAGAGGCTCAAATCTTTGATGCAATTTTCCACTGTAAATTGTGTAAGCAACTGCAAGAAATACCAAGAAAATCTATTTCCCGGGTCTATGGGTCTATGAAGAAATCTCCACTTGTGTGAGCACACGCTAAGGCTTGCGCTACTGGTAACATGTTCTGGGAAGCATGTGTTTTTCGTGGTAGGGCAGAGGTGGTACCTAAGCATCACCTATCCACTGGCATTTTAGTCCACGATGCAAAGTGCCGGTTTGTCCTGAGCCATCTGTAGCAGAACTTTAAATACACCTTTAATTGGATCCATGGGGAATTGCTGTGCTTGGGAATAAATGTAGGGGTGGAACTAAAAATTGCCCTTTCAACTATGACAAGAAGTTTGATGAATTTAGGTCAGGAACAACATACCTGTTTTAATTGCTTTTCGAGTTTTTCTTTCTCCATCTGACAAGCTTTTATCTATGGACAAAACAAAGGCATTTGTTTATTGAAAGAGTTCACATGATTCGTTCCAAAGTTACACTCAACGTAGCTGTCAGTGGCCTGCTCAGAAACCGCAGGGGTGAAGCATTGATGGCAGTCGTGCCAGTGAAAACAGTCACGTTTTAGATTTTCCAGACTTGCATTCGTTCTATCTTGAAATGCCCAAGTGCACACAAACGATAAGGATACACTATGTATGTCCCCTTCATTATATTGTGAGTTTTTAATAGCAAGGATCATTTTTTTTTACTTCTTTACAGTATATAACAAATACCTTGCAGAAAGAAAGCATCAAAATTAAATTACAAGGAACTAAGTGTGGCATGTTAATTATACAACTAAATGACTCTTATTTAAAACCCTCCTTCCAACAGACTAAAGTCATTTGTGAAATACCTGTGAGCCATGACCTGAGCTAGATGTTTTTGTATAGATTTTTTTTTTTCATTTCACCCTGAGAACAACTTTGTGAAGTCATGAGGGGGAAACCACCACCCATATTTCACAGGTGAGTATACTGAGAGATCTGGTAACTTGTTTTTAGAGACACGTTTTAGAATGATAAGAAATATTTTAGAGACCACCTGGTTCAACTTTGCCATTTTACAGAGGAAGAAAAGGAAGCACAGAAAAGTAGAACTTGCTCAGTGCCATTCCTGATTGTCAAAGCAGGCACAAACACGATGATTTTACCCCTACTCCTACTCCTAAGTATCTCTAAGTATCTTGCTCTTTACCACACTTCTATTTTACCAGTCATTGTCTTAAAACATCCTTAGCAATAGAATCAATAAACTCTGGTATGTAAGCAGAATGACTTGACCTAAGTATTCCTTTTTTTTTTTTTTTTGGACCACAGATAATATGCCATTCAAATAACATCATGCCAATTCTATTACATTATGGCATTAAATCTGCTGTTAATATATTTAACATAAATTGTTAAGCCATTTACTACATCTCTTTGTGAATTCTATCATCCTTTGACCAGGGTGAATGAAGCTTCTGAAAAATAAATGCTTCGACTATCGTTATTTAAAGAAAAATGTTTGGTAGTTTTACGATATCACCAAGATTATCCCTTAGTTCATTTATTAAATTATACTCTCTGCAGACAATGCATTATTTTGTTAGTATCAATCAAAATTAGCTTACAGATGACAGAGAAATGAAAATTACTTGTGGATTATAGCCTCTAGAATATTTAGATGGTCATGTATTCCTGGATGCACTAGAACATCTACAATGGCAAAGACATTGCCCATCTTAGACACAAATTTATCATCAATCTGAACTGAATATAGTAGAATTAAAAAATGTCTGGAAGTAAAATAATTTGTGCAGTGACCACTTAGAAAAGATTAAGGGAGCTTTGCATGTAAGACATACAAATGGAGAGTGATTTCCTCACTGAGAGTAGTCAGAGTAGTAAGTTGCATGAATTATTTTTAGAAAAGCATTTTGTTATGCTTTTGCAACTATTTTATTTCTTTTAATTTTTTAGAAAATGGTTCTGCCGAATAATTTTTGCACGTAAAATTAGGAATTTCAAACAAATCCTTGAAAAAAAATGTCAGAAAAGAAATTAAATTTAATTCACAGTATATTGTGTATTAGGAAGAAGAGGATTACAAATAGTTAAACATTTCTTTTGAGACCAAGAATCTTGCAGCTCCAGAGCTGTCATAGCACGTCCTGCAACAATTTCCTATTTACTGAAAAGCATTTTGGATGATTTTGTAAATCAAAAATTCTGTGGTTCATTTTCTTTTCTTAGGCCAAAGTTGTGTTAGCTACATTTTCCTCATTAACATCAATATTTGCCCATCATGCAACTTCCTGAGCCTACTTTTAATATATCCTATTACATCTAATTGTAATATGCTTACATTTAATGTATTCTATTCCAATAAACTGGCTAACGTTATGTGGCTTCCTTGAGAGAGTTCCAGTTACATTTAATTGGGGAGCCCACTGAACAAATTCTTGGTTTCACTGTGTTTTATATATATAAATGACATTTAGAAATATGTATGTTTTTGGAAGACGGGAACATTCCAACATGGCCCAACATAGCCCTCAAAGAAAATGACAAGAGTTTAGAAACAACTTCACTGTGCTGGAGTGTTTTGGATTTGAATTTTGAGTATTAGGTAGTTCAACTCCCATTCTACCAAGATAAATATTATGAGAAAAAGATCAAAAGAATTAGATTTTATAAAAGACTTTGGAATCCAATTTCTTAGGTAACCCCCTAATAGACTGAAGTTAAAAGAAATCTCCAGTCATTTTCATCTCTTTACAAGATTGTTTAAGAATGATTTCATCCCAGGTGCTTACCTCTCAAAGAAAACCAATGTCAATTAAAAGGAGCCAAAGTCTTGATTTTTTTAATGAAAAAAATTTAAAAAATACACATATGCTGGAAAAGATTATTTTGTTTTGTGACTTATACCTGAGAATTCAGCCTGTTTAACTGGGATTGAGAAGTTTGATTAATTTGCTGTAGCTCCTCTTTCTCTTGATTAAGTCTTTCTCGGTCTGATCGCTCCTTTTTGAAGTCTTCTTCATATATTTGCACCTAGGAAATATTGACTTGCTGTTACTGTTAGCATCCTTTTCTCTAAGCCATTTAAATGATTTCAGAAGAGGTGCTACCTGGGGTTGTTCAATCTGAATAATTCCTATCCTCTTTCCATGAATATTTCTTCATGGTGAGACTCTATCCTAAAGGATATGGTCATAATTCTATCTCTTGCTTTGTTTAGAATGGCAGTTCTCAACTTTGCCTCCTTGAGTATGTGTCAGGAATTTAGAAGTAAAGTAACAACATGGATAGTTTGAGAAAAAAGTGCCCTCACTCATTATTCTGCTGCATATTTCTTTATTGTGATGAGCACCCGTTCCCTCCTTGTCTACTGTTAAGTATCACTATTTTGAAGCAAGTCATCCATCCCCAACACAAGGCTTTGATGTAGGAATAGTGCTTGAAGTTCTAAAAGACAGTTTACTGACAATAGCTGTTAATTGAAGCCACTAAATATTGGCCTGCCAGTTTCCAAATATAAATAATAAGTTGAATACAAAATAGAAATGAAAGTTTCATGTTTGTGGGAGAGCAAAATATTACTGTTGAAAGGTATTCATTCAAAATTTGCCCCAGTAGTTTTGGGGATACATCACTTAAAAAAAAGTAACAATATTTTAGTGGAACACCTCTCAAGAAATATTCCAAATATTCCAAAAAGCAATCAAACCAAAAAAAAAAAAAACGGATTTAATCATCATTGTTTTTAACTGGCATAGTGTTGACTGATGGCTTGGGGACTAGTATGTGTAACTATGAAAATAAATGAAGCTTAGGGAATGGGATACAGGAATTCCTTTCCCACAATGAGTTAAATTACAACTTACATGGGAACCTAGTAGCTAGATTTTTGTCTATTAATACTAAGATACTCTGCACTTTCACCACCAATAATGCAACACGTTTTAACTAGAGGCTTATTGAAGTCAGTAATAATACAGCAAAATGTAATAGGCAAGAGAGGATAAAATTAAACATGTTATACAGACCTAGATGCAGATGTACATTTTTAATTTTTAAGGTTTTACTCACCAGAAGCATCGAAAGGGAACTACACCCAGCTAAGCTTACATTTTGTTTTGGTTTTGGTTTTGGTTAAGATCTGAGGCTCAATTCCAGACATAGTCAAACTAATGCTCTGTAAACAATTACCAGAGGCATTTGAAATGAGAGAAGCTCATCTGATCAGAACTGAACACTTTATCAAACACAACACTGATAGCAATGTCATCACTTCAGTCAGGTGGCCAAGATTCTAGCTCAGTTTCTTTGTGAATTTAAATCCTATAGTGTATGTGTCACGTAACACTTGGTGGTGATATAGTGATTGTGGGTGTCAAATTAAAAATGTGCACACTTAAAATATGTATGCAAAAAGTTAGCAAAAGGGCCACACAAAAACTAAGGAGATGGATTCTGGACCTCTTGGGAATAATGAAAAAAAGGATACCTGTCATTGTCTGCATCCAATATGAGCTAAGCCATTGCTGTAAACTCTATGCATATGTAAGAGTGACTCTCTTGCATGTGGGATGCATTATATGAAAGCATCAAAGATGATTCAAGTGTCTGAACATAAGAAGTAGTTTTGTTTTGTTTTGTTTTTTTCAGAGGAATCCTGTCTAGTGGCAATGATACTTTAGGGGTTGAGAATATGGCACAGCTTTAACACTCTGAATACTACCCTTATTCTCTTCATAGGCTTATTTTTTAACTATGTATTTGATCCTGAATGTAATGAGGCAGATTATTCAAGGGGTTGATAGAAGAGAACATGCAACTTTAGCATCAAATGCTCTGAATTTTCTACACTTACAGATAGGTTACCTCCCATGAAGTGATAACAATAAACAACAACAGCAATAATACAATTGCTTAATTCTTTGGTGTATTGCATCAAAAATCCTTGTAGTTGGCCTTGCTCAAGAGCAAAACAGCCAACAAATCAGTTCCAGGGACATACTTCCCAGCCCTTTGTTCTATAACATCCTCTCCCCCACCGCTAATGTATTACTGACAATGTGTGCTTCAGAGATAGGATTCCTATACTTATCCTATATTTATTGACATCGCCATGAACTGTTCCAGTCCTTTACCTTCATTAGTTTATTTAACCTCTTACAGGAAAAGAGATGTGATATGCATGGGTGGCCCCTCAGCTAAGCCAGCTCCAGCTGGCTGAACTAAATTTAGACCCAAATAGTTTAGGCAGTGCTATGTGCCTATAACTCTATGTTGCTGATACATGCAGAAGCTTACTCCTTTACTCTTCTGTCCACTTGGTGACATGGAATTGAGGTTGGATGAGGGGGCAGGGGAGCAAGGTGTGGTAGATCAATAAATTGCTAGGTAGTGCCATCCATATGTGGCTGTAGATGAAAAGATCTGGCTCTTCAGTCATTGTGATCAATGCAGAATATTCCCTTTAAAAATGCCCTCATGGCCCAAAGGCCTGGAAGCCAGCTGCTACAGAATAACAGCCTAGTTGCTACCATTTTCTGAAAAGGTCCAGGGTTTGGGGTGGTAGTGTTTTCAAAATAAATTGTGTCTACGTGAAACTCTCTAGACCAGTGCTAATAAAATCTCAGCAAAAGGTTAATTAGTAAGCTGTTCCTTTAACTGGATGATCTTGGACAAGCCATTTAATCCATTTGAAACTCGATTCCCTCTGTTATAAAGTGGGAGTTGGGCTAGCTGTCTATAGTCTCTCATCAAGCTTTAAAATTAGATAATTCTACTGAAAATAAATGCAAAAACTTTGGACACATGTTGAATAGAAGGGTTTCCACATACGTTCAAAGGAGCATGAACAATAATGGCCCTGTGTTCTCCACGTGATCATGCCACTTTCAACTTCTCACCTGCTGTTTGAGAACTTCCATTTCTGTTCGCATCTCCTCATGCCTGCACTCCATCTCATACTTTCCCAAATAGTCCTCAGGAAATGAAGAACTCTCGATTTTCAAGGCATCCTGAAGAGCCTGTGTTATAGGATAAGCAAGTGGTTGAGCTAAGAGTTACCTATGAATTCTTCTATAATTGTTACAATGACTCAGATGCCCGGGGCAAGACAGAACTCCATTTTTGCTGCTACTTTTATGACTGAATAACTTCTTTCTCCTTTTTAAGCATACGATTTTTTTTCATAATCTCTGTCTTTTCTCCATGACGATCTTATGTTATTCAACTGTCATTGTTATTTAGAAGGGCTTTTGACGTTGATGTCTGGGATCCCCTCCACCAAGTCAACCATGAAAAGAAAACATATCTATAGCATTTCTCCAGATTCTCTGCTTCAATCAAACACATGCTTTATCAATAATGCTCAAACTTTAGAGAGCATCAGAATCACCTAGAGAGGTAGCAAACATGCCCATCCCTGGGCACTGTCCCTAGAGATCCCGAATCAGTAGATCTGGAGAGAGGGTCTGAGAATCTGCATTCCTCAAAAGCTGATGTGGCTGGTCCCAGATGACACTGTGATATTTTTGCCATCCAGCCCTGCCCTCGAAAGGAGAGAGGAAAACCCACAGAAATGTGAACCCATACAGATCACTATTCCTTAGATCTATTGTACTGCTGCTCCTCTGTCCTGTCCTCAGTATATAATGCCCTGGCCTAGCCACAGTCATAGTAATTCTCTAATAAAACATTCACTAATTCACTACAGGCTGCAGAGAGTGCTCTGTTCTCTTTTCTTTTTTTTTTCTTTCCTTTTTTTTTTTCTTTAAAAGAGAGAGAGAGCACAAAAGTGTGCAAGTGGGGGTGGCAGGGAGGGCAGAGGGAGAGGAGAGAGAGAAAATCTCAAACAGGCTCCATGCTCAGTATGGAACCCAATGCATGGTTTGATCTCATGACTATGAGACCATGACCTGAGCTGAAACCAAGAGTTGGACACTTAACCAACTGAACCACCCAAGTGCTCCACACTTTCTTGACCTCCAGTACAACTTAGTGGTTTCACTGTAGGGTGAGGAGGTGAAGGAAACAAGAGACACTTAGATTTGCCAATAAGATCACCATCATTATTCACTAGACCATGACCTCTTACATACACTATACTTTGTCAGATCATATAAAAGACATTGCCTCTATTCTGAAGACCTTGGTTCATGATGAGTTCAATAACATACCTGCCAAAATTGAGACACAACACACCTCATTCTGGTGTGGTCTAGGAGGCCACATACAATATGACTACTTGCTCATTATCAAATGAGTCCTTTATACGAATAGAAAAGTTTCACTTTCAGAGCTCCAGGATTTCACTTCCTCTGAATTTCTTTGGTAGTTTCAATGATGTTCATTTGATGATACCATTAGTAACTTACTTTCTTGCCTTACTGTACAATATGGTCATATAGGTAAGAAAAAAAAAGCATAGTTACTGTCTTAAATATGTATAGACAGGCTAAGAATTTCCTAATAGAGTATCTTTAAACTCTATGGATACCGTGTGGCCTGATGTAGGTATGTATCATTTTTCAGGAAGTTGTAAGAGAAACAAGAACTTTTTTCTTCCTCCAAGAAGAATTTAAAGAAGCAACAAATGTTGTTTAATAATTAATGTTTTGTTAGAATTTGTTGCTAAGCTACAGAATTTTAGGAAGTATCATATTAGTTGAAACTTTTAAAAATGTGTTAGTAGTAATGGAGAGAATATAGTTTGGGGTGAGCCAAATGAGTTAAGATTTCAATTAAAAATGCCGATTTCATATCCTACACCTATGAACAGACTGTTTTTGTGGGTCTTGCTCTATCTGAATTTCCTGATCTACCTTTCATGTTACTCAGGCTTCTAGAAATTTTGCAAATGAGTCATAAATGAAAGGTGAGTTTAATCAACATTTATTCCATCTTGGGGTTTTCCAACTGCCTTGAACAAACACCTGTAATCTATTCTAGAATAGTAATTTACTATCAGCACAGGCATACTAAACAGATCTACCCATCCCACCATGGTGAGATGTTGGACAAATCAACTTTGCCCATGGGTGGCACTGGCTGCCTCACCTCAGGTAATTTCTCTTACTATGGTTAAACATCTGGCTTGTCTTTAAGAACTCAATGAAAACAATGCCCCTGGGTACTTCCTTCAAAGCAAATAAGTTGAACTAAGTACACATAGTTGTGTGAACTTCTGAAAAACATATGTTAATTACTAAGTTGACACGCTACAAATTTCTGCTGAGTGAATGGGTCAGCAGTCGGGCTGATTGTGCAAGTAGGGTGAGCCCCAAATTCCATGCTGCGATGGATGGTATGCACAATCAGCTACCCAAATCAACATTTGGAGTAACTTCTATTTATTACAGTGGTTAGGAGAGGAAATAAAAGAAAAAGAAAAGAGAAGAAAAATCTACAGTGTAAAATTCAATAGTAATTTGTAACATTTCATTAGACTGATACATGAACTAAATGAGAAAAAAAAACTTTTCATAGCTCATCACTTTATATCTATGCTTTTGAAATGACACTTTAAGGTATAGATGTGGTGGGCAAAATCTTTTCTGGCCTGAAGTACTCTTTTATTTTTATTTGTTTTCACTAGTCATAAATAATGCATTATGCCTGTTAAGGCAGGAAACTCGGGACCAGAATTGGCTATTGAACATATTATGTACTAGCGAAATTATTTAATTAATTCATCCACTCAATAAATATTTAAGAACATATTGTGAAAAAGGCCCTGTTGCTGGCATTTGAAACAGAACAATGAAAAAAACAGGAAAACTTAGGCCATACTATGACTGTTGTATTTGTGAATCCATTCCTCCAAATAAATACATATTAAAATTGTTTTATAACTGCACTCTTGAGGCACTTGGGTGGCTCAATGGTTGAGTGTCTGCCTTTGGCTCAGGTCCTAGTCCCACATCGGGCTACGTGGAAGGAACCTGCTTATCCCTCTGCCTATGTGTCTGCCTCTCTCTCTGTGTCTCTCATGAATAAATAAAATCTTTTTTTTTTTAAAGACCTGCATTCTTATTAAGGTGAATAAACTAATGAAAACGTTTTTTCAACCCAGAGTTCCATTTTTTTTCTCCTGATTTTAAGAGAAATTAAACATATTAATAGGCCATTAGAAATATCATGAGCCCTCAATACTGTGCCTATTATCCTAACAGGCAAGTCAGTTCTGCAAAAACTACTACCCCCATGGAATTTACAATCCAGACTTGGAGACAGGGAACAAATCTGATGATAAGAGACACTGAACATATATTGGATATCAATAAATTCCAAAGAAACATTAAAATAGGAAATATGCTGGAGTATGTAATTTTAATTAGAATGGCCAGAAAAATCCTCTGAGAGGGTGACATTTATATAAAGACCTGGATTTTGCTTAAATTAATTGTTCTCATTTTCTCCATTTTATTATACCCAGAAGGGTTAAAAAAATTTCCTGACTTTTAAAACATTCTGTTGAAAAAAAAAAACAAATCAAAAAACATTCTGTTGACTATAGATACAGATACACAAAAATGAAGGGTACACATAGACATGGGCAAAAACCAGAGTCCAGAGTTCTTGGCTGTTCTAATTTCTACAGGGCTTATATTCTTGTGCCAATATTTACAGAAATGAATTAGAGAACAGAAGAAAACTTATCAAATAATACATTGCAAGTGGGAAAGATTTCAAATGTAATCTCAATGCTAGTTCTTGTAATTCATCTGTTGAGGATTTCCAACAGAGAATAAAAGGGAAAAGTTATTTGCCCTAAATTTGTATCTGAACATTGTTTCCTCTCTTAGAGGATAGAGAAGTACATTGTTTATGAAGTCTCTACTTTTCTACTTTCTCCTGACCAGTAACTTGCCTCACAAACAGATCAAATATAGCATCACATTTGTAAAGCATCCTGTCAACTACACAGGCACATTACTTAACGTTAACTTTGAGGATCTTTAAATGATCTTCTGAACACAGGTTAACTACAAGATGCACAGTCCAAAATACAGGCACTGAGCACTTTTTCAAGCCCAGTCACCTACGCTTGTTTTAGAAGGTAATTTCTGTTACTTTGGTCAAGAAATATCTAACTTGAGAGATGAGTATCTTGATCTAAACATGTACTAGAAATATTCCTATGGTCCACATCTGTTATGACTGTCTGAAAAATCAACAGCAAAGGATTTAATTGCTTCTTTAAGTCAGAAATCCCTTCCCCAGGAAAATTAAGCTATTAGTCCATAAAACTCTCACAGATACACACACACACACACACACACACACACACACACAAACTCTCCCTAGTCATCCTTTGGCAGCAATTCACAGGTAGCCCCTTTGATTAGCTAAGTTGAAGCAAAGGCATTTAACCACTTGTGTTTTTCTAACAGAATTGTTCCTCCAACCCCTACCCCAACCCCAGACCCCACACTCCAATTAAAAGTGAATTTTAGGCTTATTCTATGTTAGGCCACAATCTCAGCCTTGGGCTTGGCATTTAGCATGATTCCATATAGACTGCATCACAGCCAGTTCCATAGCGATGATTTTAAAGAGCAGCCTGTTTCCTCAGGAAACTTTTGTGGTTGACCAAGAGGTCTGCTATTGTTCACAAACACCCACTTGCTTTATGTGGTTCTCGAACTAAAAAAAAAAAAAAAAAAAAAAAAAAGTTCTTTCTGTCTTCTAAATTTTCTCCTTGTTTCTCTTTATCATGCTTATTTGCAAGGACACTAATTTCTTAAAGCCTCCTTAGCCACGTGTAGCTGAAAGATGCAGACAGGAGTGTTCTATAAAATTACAGAGAAGCTCCTGTGTAAGCTCCCAAGACTAGTTGCTGCACTGCAGCACAGATTTCGTTGTGACTCTCGATTAGGAATGTGCTTTTTTTTTTTAAAAAAAAAAAAAAAAAAGGAATGTGCTTTTTAGAAGGGATCTCTCCTTCCATCTCCCCAGTCCGACCTGGCTGATACCTTATTGAGGCGTTTTATTTCACATTCGTAATGTTCCTTCTTCTTGCTTACGAGAGCATTTTTTTCCTTCAAAAGCTTATTTTCTTTCTTCAATTCATGTAATTCTTCATTTAGGCTCTCCTTTTCCTTCTGAAGTAAACAACAAGAAGACAAAATCAAAATCAATAAAATTCAGATGAGATAATATTATAGGAATACTTCTGAAATACAACAAAAACAGGACCTGCTAGATTTCCATTTAATGCTCCATGTAAGCAATATTCTCTGGGTGGAGGGCAGGGTTCAGAGAGAGAAAATCTTTCTTTAATCCGTAGTTTTTAATACTAAGTTTTATGATGCCAGAAAAAGCTCAAAATCCCCAATCCTCACTTTCAAGGGTCAAATGCGTCCACAGAATAAGCTAGTTCCAATGTACTGTTACAAAGTGATAGATAAGTGACTTAGTAAAAGTAATTAAAGTCCTAAAAAGAAAGAAAAGTGTCATTGCAACAAAAAATAGGAAATATCTCAACGCTCAATCCTGCCTGCATCATTCTGGACCGAAGACAGGGAGAAGAGGATAAAACTTCAAGCAAATGAGAGCCTTCACTACAGATAATTATTCAGAGCACCGTATTGTCGTGATTACTACTTTTAAAGGGTAGAGATTAAAAAAAAAAAAAAAGGTAGAGATCAATCAGTCCAAATGCCATCACTCCTGCATATTCCAGATAACCTTCAGGAAGTCCTGTGTTTTAAAAAATTGAAGCAAGGTCAGTTGCTTTGACACAAGTGGGCTCTGGATTCAGACATCTGTCTTCTAATTCTTAATTTTATATTTTACTAAAGATTTCATTTATTTATTCATGAGAGACAGAGGGGGGTGGGACAGAGACACAGGCAGAGGGAGAAGCAGGCTCCATGCAAGGAGCCCCACGTGGGGGGGACTCGACCCCAGGACTCCAGGATCACACCTTGGGCCAAAGGCAGGCGCTAAACTGCTGAGCCACCTGGGGATCCCCAATTTTATATTTTAGATAGCAAACTGTTTGTAGAGTGAATTGGATCCTTAACATCATTCAGATTTTAACCTAACAAGTATTCCAGAATGTAGGTAAATCAAGATGAGAAAATAGCTAATATATATGTTAAAGTATACTATTTTAGTGATTAGTATTTCCCAATACAATTATCAGATTTAAGATATCTAGCTTAGGTGATTCATTTTTTTAAAAAGTGATAACATGTCTATTTGCTTTTCCTTAGAATGGGCTCATACACACTTAGAAAAGGAACTGATCATTTTCTAACCTGGCATAATTTAAAAGAAAAGGACTTCAACTAGAATTCCAAGGGCATGAGGCAACGATTGCCATGATTCCTGATCAGGGTCTAAATGGAAAAGGAAGGGACTGCTCCAGGACCAGAAGGCATTGCTAAACCTTGTTTGCTTTCCTCCCATCCACTGAGCCCGAGATGCCCTTCACAAAATAAGAAAATCTACACTGAGGACTGTCTGCACTGATTTTAGGCATTGCCTTAGGATTGGTGTAGGTGTTAAAATACAGCCAATGCCTCACAATATCAGTCGCAAGACTTCCCCTGAGAAAGCTACCGTTCTTGTTTTATCTTAACATACGTAAGAAAATGAGAGGCCACTAGAGCTTAAGGTTTTTCTCCCATTTTCAAGCCCCATAACTAATAATAAAACAAAGAGCATTTTAGGAGAGAAGCCTGTGGCCTTCAGGACCATCATCTTGCTCTCATCAGGATTAATGAACACAGAATCTGGGGATCCCGAGTGGCCCAGCGGTTTAGCGTTGCCTTTGGCCCAGGGCGTGACCCTGGAGCCCCGGGATCGAATCCCACATCGGGCTCCTGGTGCATGGAGCCTGCTTCTCCTCTGCCTGTGTCTCTGCCTCTCTCTCTCTCTCATGTGTCTTATGAATGAATGAATGAATGAATGAATGAATACAGATAATCTGGAGACGGGGTTCAAGTCCCATGTTCCCAGGTACTAGGTTGTCAAGGTTGGCAGGTCATGCAACCTCTTCACATTTCAGCTTTCTCATCTTTAAAAAGGCAAAAAGAGTATTTTCCTCACAGACGGGCCGAGCTAGTTCAGTGAGGTGATGAGGGCGAGGCCGTCCCCCAAATGTATCTCTTATGATCCCAGACGCAAGATCTGTTTGTAAAACTCTGTACGCTGAAAAGCAGCTGTGCAAAGGCAAGAGACTGCCCATCATTATTAACACCCGTAACAAAATAATAAACATGAGTCCAAGCAGGGTTGATTCTCTAGGCTGAAATGCTCTAGAAAGGCAGCGCCACGTCCCCGGATCGGCCCCCCCGCCCGCAGAGCCCCCCCACGCGAACGCGCGTCCGCTCGGGCCGCACGGGGCCGCCGAAAAGCGCGATCTCCTCGCTCGGACCGCCGCGCACGCGCGCTGCTCCGCGGCCACGGGGCCCCGCCCCAGTGCGGAGTGCGCATGCTCAGGCCTTGGGGCGCGCGCCCCGCCCACCTCCTGGCGCTGCAGCCGCTGGCGGGTCTGGTCGCGCAGCCTGTCGCTGTCCCTCTGACTCTGTTCCCTCTCCTTCTCCTGCGTGCTGAGGAATCTTTCTGCCGCGTCCAGTTTCGTTTTCAGCTCTGCGACCTGGAGAAGTCGTTTACAGAGAGTTGCAGACGCGCCTTGTGAAAGTCACACCCGAGCCCAAGGCCCCCCGGTGCCCTCGGGGACAGACGCGCCCCGCTCCTGGGCGGCCCCTCTCGGCAGGTTCCGCTTCCCACCAGCCTTGGATCCGGACAAGTGCAGCTTAAAAAGAGCTTCCTCGGGGCGGGGGGGGCGGGGGTGGGGGGATGCAAACCTTGTAACCAGCCTTCGGCCCCTTCCCTCCTTTTCTCCAAACCACACCGCTTCCGACGGAATAAGGATTTAGACCTTAGGCCGGGACACTTCAGGCCCTGCCCTTCTAAACCTAACTCTCAGTATGTGCCTCTGCCTGGCCTGAAAAGGGTTGTAAGTGAGCAAACAGGTCTGCACCAGAAAAAAAAAAAAAAAAGCCAGGCATGGCTTTTCACTCATCAGTCCTGTACGATGCTTACGCCGCTACGAAATGCTAAGTTGGTCTTCAAAAGTGATGCGGGTCCAGCAGAGAAGCCTCAGGAAAGGGTGAAGGCCAAAGCTGCGCCCCACTGAATAGAACAGGTGGCCTGACCAGTGTGGCCCTGGTGCAGTGGGAACTGCATCCTGCACTTGCTAAATACTTCTGCCTATCAAAATGGGGAAGAAAAGAGCAATATTACTGTGTTACTCACTTGTGGTCAGGTTTCTTAATTCTGAATTATTTAGGGAAATTTACTTTTTCTTTTTCTCCCTCTTTGAACGTGGGATAATTTAAAACGATAAATTGACTTTTATCTCTTCAAAGGTACGCTCTCCAAAAGGTTTCTTACCAAAGCAAAAGATTCTTGGTAGAGAACATACGTTAGGGGAAAAGGGGATGTCCCAGTTCCCCTCATACTTTCACTGTTACCATTGTTTATTTCTTTTTCTGTGGAAATAGCTTGTGCTATCTAGTTAAAGATTTAGAGAACTAGCCTTTAATAAAACAGTCTGAACTTTGAACCATCTCTCATCTCACTTGTAACCTTGTGTGTTCGTGGCTGCTAGGAACAAAGCCAAAGCCAGGATTTTCTGTGAGCTCTGATAAATGTGTGCATAAGAACTCTAGAGACATCTCTGGAGGCTATTTTTAGTACTTTTTTTTTTTTTTTAATTTTGCCATGCTCAAGATAATTCACTGATATCTTTCATTACTCTTCAGTACCAAGAGGCCAATAATACACTCAACACCTTTCCCCCACCCGCATCATTTTTCAACAGTTGGCTAGCCACAAATCTCCTTCAGCTGAAATCAGTGGGAATCTTTACAGACTTGGTCCCCAGCTAACTGATTTAAAGCAAATACTAAACAGAGAGGTATTTACCTTTTTTTCATATGACTCTTTCATGCTTCTAAATTGCTGATCCCATTGCTGGTTAACTTCCAGGAGCTGAAATTATTAAAGTTTGGTAAGTCAATATGAATCTTTGCCCATTCGGAAATTTGGCCAAAATGAAATCACTTTTTGAGGTTACTAAGATTTCGCAAGCCATGGGTGAAGACCGTATTCCTTCCACCAAATACTGGTAGGGCTGGGATGATTTAATTCAGTACACTCTCCCCATTTTCATAACTGGCTCAAATATGAAAAACTATTAGGTACTCAGTATATCTTGCCTAGTCAGCTGAACCATTTATTAGCAACTTTCAACTCTGCTTAGTTATTTGAATTTCTTCTTTGTTTAACCCAATCAAAATCCTGTAAAAATTTGTGAGTGTTGATGGTTTTATGTAAGATTTATTAATATGTAAAGGGTCTTTTTTCAAATCTTTCCATATTTTTCTATGTGCTTACATTGATTATTATAATGAAGTATTTCTTTAGCTTTTAAAAACAGAATTTATATTAACAAATTCCAAATCACAATAACTGATCATGTGCTCACAATATTATGCTTTTAAAAATCAACACATGATTTGTAATGCATGCGCAATGAATGGATAATACCACCTTTTTCAAAGGATAGATTTTCAAGGACTAATAGTTTTATCATAAGACAATATTTAGAAATGATTTAGGCTGCAATTTGGAAGCTTTAAAATTATGTACTAGATAAAAGGAAGAAAAACACTGTGACCCATGTTTTACTTTTCTTGTAAGGGAAGTCTGTAATTTCCTACATTAAGAGAAATTCCAACACTTTCAATATGGGACAGAGATCAAGAAGATAGTCACAATGACTAAAAAGAAGCAAGATATTCTCCTAATTATAAAATAAAATATATAATTCAGACAGGCAGTCACTAGATAAGTCTTATGCTGGAAATAGATACAGGTATTTAGTAGAGACTATGTAATATTATTATATAAGGATATCTGATCTGTTGGCATCTTAAGGATTAAGCTTAACATTTCTATGTTATAGTACTATTACTCTTCTATTGTTCAGTAATTTTCCAGAATGGCATAATATTTTATGCAGTATCGAAGAGGAGTAGACCTCACCACAGAGAAAACCATGAGGAATGTAACATTTATAATGATTAAGAAAAGGAATTTAAAAATTGACAAAATACACAGTGCTAAAATTGTTAACACTTTTCACCTCTTCATCTGTCAAGAAGAATAGTTTCTAACATTCATTAAACTCAGAAAAATAGAACTCAAAATAGCATCCATCACATCCCTAATGGCATTTTTGAAACAAGCAGGGTTTTTTTTAATGATAATTGCCCCTAACCCCTATGTGGTTGGATGTCCAGCTCATGAAGTCATAGCCCCTAAGTCAATTACACTTTAGGCCTTTAACAGTTTGAGTTTCAAGTTGTGTTCAAGTTGCAAGGCATATTGGCACAGATGATAAGCTCACATAGTCCATGTGGAGGAAACATCTAAGTTCTGAGAAAAATTAAAATTATAATTATTGGATTTATGACTATCATTTTTTTTTAAAGATCTTATTTATTTATTCATGAGAGACACAAAGAGAGAGAGAAAGAGGCAGAGACACAGGCAGAGGGAGAAGCAGGCTCCATGTAGGGAGCCCAATGCGGGACTCGATCCCGGGACTCCAGGATCACACCCTGGGTCAAAGGCAGGCGCTAAACCACTGAGCCACCTGGGCTGCCCAGCTTTGTCATTTTTCACTCATTTACAGACACTGAGAGACTGAGTAAGAGAAATATAGGCGAATAAGAAAAAGCACCTACTTTCAAAATAATGTCATGCAATATCCTAGAGATAAATACTGTGACGCAATAACAAAAATAAGACTCGAGATATACATTCTATTTTATTCTTAGCATTAAATCATGGTACAAGTTGCTTCAACTAGTATTTTTTAATTACCTCTTTTCTCTGTTTTTCCAAGCACCTTATCTTTTGTTCAAGAGAATTTGTCAAGTTCTTTCTGCTTGATGATTGATCACACTTAAAAAAAAAATAAAAACAGTGAAACAAAACTCTATAACATAAAGAGTAGAAATGCATTTGGCCAACTCTCCTGCTGCGATTCATAAGAAAATATCTTATTGTAAGTGGTAACAGTCCTCACACCATAGTCCCTCATAGAGACCTATTGATGGATAAGCTTTATATTATGTTTCAGATTCCTTTATATGAAGTAATTGAGAAAACAATTCTCTAATAAATTACAAATGTTATCTATTCAATAGACAAATGAGAAATCAGGATTTAATGAGTTTGGATTTCAATCTCCCTCCACCCCACCACCAAAAAAAGGAAACTAAGAGTGAGTACAGTTCTTATAGAAATCAGGTTAAGTTTCATGGATATATTTTGGATATTTACATTAAGTAATAAACATTTCTAAAAAAAGTCACTTCTGTAGATGTGTCCATATCTGAAGAGCTGCCCTGGTAAAAGTCAGAGGAATGATAGAACTGTCAAGAAAAAAAAAAAGACTAATAGATATAACTGAAAGGCAGCAAATTGATTCTAAGACTATAATAAATTAGTTACCTCAATGTCCATCATATAATGCTATAGAGAGGCTGGCATCGAGGTTGGTTATCTGGTATATTGCAATTTTAACCAGCCCTTTGAATAAAGCCAGTAGGTTATACATTTAGATAAATAGTAAATCATTGGCACAGCAAAAAAGTTAACCACCTTTCACTTCAGCCTTTTTTTTTTTTTTCTTCCAGCATTGGGGGTATTTATTTAAAGAAAGCACAAAAGCTCTGGAAACTGTGGGCCATCTGTCTAAATGGACCACCAACAAAGTTCACTTAAGTGCTGTTTTCTCTATACTAACTCAATAGTCTTGTTACCATCTCATTTCTGAGTCATATAAACAATACAATGAATCTGGTGATGAGGATACTCCTAAGTCTGCTATTCAGTTTTAGGCTCCATAGTTATATGGAAATTGATTACAGATATTCACGAACAATTAAATCTTTTTAAAATGTGTTGGTTTTCATCAAAAACATTTATAGAAAGTGTTCTTTTACAATCACCATGGGATTTCAAGGCCTTTTTTTTCATTAGTAATGATTTATAAAACTATTTTTCTATCTTTTCCCTACTTATCTATGTCTCACTCAATGTTTTAGGACTGGATGATACTTTATATCTTTATAAATTCTGTTCCTAGTTTTCTTAGCTTCTTCTCATTCGGACCCATGTACAATTAGGACCACATTTTAAAAGAGAAAATATTCTGTGGGTCAATAAATTCAGAATTATTATACTTACTTCTGACCTTAAAAAGCTGATTTGTCTGAGTTCTGAAAGTAACATCAAAATCCAGGTGACAGGGGCACCTGGGTTGCTCAGTTGGTTGTTTGCCTTTGGCTCGGGTCATGATCTTGGGGGTCCTGGGATCATGGCTCAGATCATAATCTCTGGGGTCTTGAGATGGAGTCTCCTGCATCAGGCTCCCTGCTCAGGGGGAAGCCTGCTTCTCCTTCTGCCTCTCTCCCTGCTCACACTCTCTCTCTCAAATAAACAAATAAATAAAATATCAAAAAAGAAAAAAAGTCCAGATGATAATACGTTGGGTCTTATAAGGGCTTTCCATTTTTTAGGTACTCTAGACTCGTTCTGCATCAGAACAGGCTGAGTATTAGGTACTTTGACATGAAAAATGCTATGAGCCAACTGTATTTAGGGTGGCCTGAGCTCTGCAAAGCAGTACAGTGAGACCAGATTCCAATCCAGTGGTTCTTAGTACAAGAACACAGAAAAGTCACTGTGGGATCTTGCTAAACACACGGCACCATGAACACTGAAACAGAATTTCTGAAAAGGGAATCATAGCACCTCCATTTTCTTCTTAATAGACATTTTTTAGAGCAGTTTTAGGTTCGCAGCAAAATCTACTGGAAGGGGCAGAGATTTCCCATACGCCTGCTGCCCCCATACCTATTTACACATTATCGACATCTCCTACCAGAGCCCTGCATTTGTTGTATTTGATGAACCTTTATGGACACGTCACCCAAATCTGTAGTGTATGTTAGTGTTCATTCTTGGTGTTGTACATTCTATGAGTCTGAACAAATGTATAATGACATTGTACTATCAGAATAATTTCACTGCCCTAAAAATCCTTTGTGCTCTGCCTATTTATCCCACCTATTTTTAATAAATTTCAGAAGTTATAGTAATTCTATAGTAAAGTTCAAGTTTCTCCTATTCCAGGCTATGCTTGGAAACACAGACTTGGGGTCCTCAGAAAGTCTCCTTTCTATTTGTGATATGGACAAAAAAAATCTGTGACCAATAAATATTTGTATGACCCAGCCTTCCAGGAATCCTGATTAAGAGTAATTAGAGTGTGTTTTTTTGGCATATATGATTTTCTCTGGAAAGAAATTGTAAAACATTTGGACTTTGGTTTTTATTTTGTAAATAAGAGTTACTGAAAAGCTAGATACTAAATCTGTGTGTGAGAGAAAAGCACAGTAATAGGAATTGCTTATAAGCAGTAAATATATCACAAGGGGTTTCTCTGGAGATTAATTAATGTGTTACCATATGTCTCGGGTATGTATTAAAATGAAGCAAAGTCAATCAAACACAAAGTTTTGGCAGAATTTTCCATTTGTATTTGCTTTATCTACCAGCTGCTAATGGAGGCATCTGATGTTTCAATAAATACAAAGATTTTTAGTCATTGGTTCTACTAAAGGCCCACTTACACAACAATTATTCTTTGTATAGTGTAATCTGTGCTTAAAGCATCTGCGTATTTCTTTCTCACTTACCTGTAACACCTAGACAAACTTCTAAGATATTCAAATTCTGATCCTGCTAAATTAGGTATCTAAATGAACCAAAGAGTTCCACTTAGTTTGCTATTATTACACCTCAGTAATCTCTAAAAAGAACCTTATTTATTTTTTAAAATGATTTGATTTATTTGGGAGAGAGAGAAAGAGAGAGAGAGAGAAAGCAGGGGGAAGGGCAGGGAGAGGGAGAAGCAGATTCCCCACGAAGCAGAGAGCCTAATGCAAGGCTCCATCCCAGGGCATAGGGATCATGACCTGAGCCAAAGGCAGACACTTAACCGACTGAGCCACCCAGGCTCTCCTGAAAAGAACTTTAAGAAAGCACATTCATTCATTCGTTCATTTGATAAGTATCTCTGGCAGTAACCAGTAACCCAACAAAAACCATGGTATTAATTGTACATACATAAATATTTTACTACGGCTACTCTTTTGCTCTATGTTCTATTTCCAACTACACCAATATTCTTTTTTAAAATTTACATTGGACCAAATTTCTCTACATCAAGAGCAAAATATGGAGCCCACTGAACTGGGGAGCTGAAAGGACTTTGGATAGGACTTAATCTCACTTTGCAAAACAAGAAATATAGCTCAGAGGGATCAAAGGAAATCCATTGGACACCAAATATTTTTCCTTGTTAAATAACATTGATCAAAATTACACTGCAGATATTATCTACGGAAAGCAAACTAGTCATTTCTACTCCTATTTGTCATTGCATAATTAACTATTAGAAATGCAATCGATGTTAGATATGGTCAATTCATCCCCTAGAAATGTGTTCTTACCTCTGCATGCTCCATAGAACCTTCTGCAGCACTCATTTTAGTTGTGCCCTGTACAAAATGTGCCAGGGAAGCTGTTTTTCCTGGAATCTTGGAAGACAGGGAGAAAAAGAGAAAGAAAATGTCTCCCGCGGTATCTTTTAAAATGAGATCAAATATACAAAATTTTAAAAAGACCACACAGTTAACTCATGATAGAGAATAACAGCAATAGTTTTTCGTTAAAAATAAACAGAAGTGACTCTGTATATGATTTACAGAGAATAATGTCAAAGCACAGCATCTGTGATTTTAACTTTTCTTCTCTTCCAGATAGGGATTTCCCAGGATGTCTCAAGGTCACAGGCTGTGACTAAGACAGTCTTATTAGCCTTGCCTATGGTACGTAAACTGTCATTCTTCCTTTACTGGCAGTTTCTCCCACTGGAGGAGGAAGTTACCACAGAAAGCCTGGGCAAACCAAGTCTTTCTTCAGTAGCCAAACTGCCATAACTTCATTGTATTTCCCAGAGAATTAGGTAACTGTTGACTTTTTTGACAACTCGGTTACTTGCTTCCCTAAAGGCAAGATTTTCTGGCAATGCTTTCTTACTGTGAGCTTAGCCCTGTGGAACTTAATGAGTCATATGCAATTCTGTAAGTGCTACTAACTCCTATGGATCTAAAAAAGAAAATTCATTACAACAAAAACGGGCATTGTTTGCAAAGCTAATCTTTTATATCGGCAGAAAGTTTAAACTCAGTTCTCAAGTTTAAGACTGTCTTTTCCACAGGTCAAATCCAGACTTTCTCCATGATCCATTTGTGGCTCAAGCTTTTCCTCTGCACTAACATTTTAGTGTTAACTAGTTGACTCATCATTTTACCAGGCATTGAGGTAATGGAATACTGGGTAGTCAGATAAAAGCATGAAATGACGGATGCTTGGAGCTACACAAATGGGTCATGGTAGACCAACCTCAGTCTGGTCTTATTAGAGAGGAAGGAAAAAAGAGCCAAGAATATAGAAAAAAAAAAAAAAGAACATATTGCTGAAGAAAGACAAGAATTTATAGTCAATTACTTAATTTACATTTTTCTTTATACCTTCCTATGAGATAACCTCTTCTATGTGGGATAAATCCTAAAACTCCTGAAGTTCAAACTCTCTAAAAGAGAATAATGGGTGACCAAGATTTGGTTGTCTTTTTTTCTCTTTCATATCTTCCACCACTTCCCAACTCTTCCTGTGCTCCAGCTATCCTGAATCCCTTTCATTTCCTGAAAAAGCCATTTGTCTAATACATGCTGCTTTCTCTGCCCAGAACATTCCCTCCTCTGAGCTCTCTCCAACCAGTTGACCTGGAAAACTTGGCTAATGCGTCCCTTGCCCATGACCTTATTTGACCTCTTTCTACCAACCAAGCAGAGCCCTTAGTGTGTGTGTGTGTGTGTGTGTACATGGTTTTGTTTTCTGCTGGTCTCCTGATCTGTTTCGGAGGTCCACTTGAGTGAAATGGAGTGATGTTTCCTTAAGGCAAGCTCCAAAAAATGCAGGTGGGAATCAAATTGTTCAGATTTCTAAAAGTAAGAGTTATGACTCACATATGATCTGATTTTAGGGTATATAAGCAGAGATTTCCTGGAGACTGACACTTCATTAACACTGAAACCTGCTCATCAAAAAAGGAAAAAAAAAAAACTATAACATGAAAATATTTTCTTCTGATCCTCCTCCCCCACATACATATATATAGAGAGATAGATAGATACAGATATTTTATATTTATCTGTATTATTCAAGGTTCCATTCAGCCTTATCTGTATATTTGGTAATAATAAACCCAGTGGGTGTGGTAACATTAACATAGAGGAGTGACTGGAAAGAACATTTTTTGCCAGAAAGTACTGTCCTTGGCCTTGGTGTCTTTTGGGTCTCTTCTGTACGGGTTTCCTGATGCACACTCATTATTGCAGCACAGCATGGTGCTGAATGGAAATCCTCTACTTTTGCATTTTCATGACAATTCCTCTGCCTCTTCTGCTATGTAGTTTAACAGTAAACAGATTTTCTATAGCTCCAGAGAACCGTGTGGTAATTTATGAATTAGAATAACTCTTCTGGAGAGCCCCAAGTCTGGTTTGAGAAAAGAGGAACTTGCACTAGGGCCAGTCTGAGAAATGTACTGCATATTTTCTGTTACACATGCCCTCCTCACCTCACCTCCCGCCCTCTCGCATGTGCTACATACTTAAGAGTCTGGCTTTTCATTAAGCTTTGTTTCGTGAGAAGTCTTACTAGCAGCAATAACCCTCAGAGAAAAAGGCATGCCACTCCATGTTTCCAAAAGGATCCTGAAGAGTCCTCATTCTCAAGTGATTAAAATATTACACAGAGGAAAATAATGAACAAAGAAGAGATATAGTGAAGAAAAAGGAATGAGGAACAACCAGTCACGGGTCTGTAACTGTCACTTGAGTTGATAATTCTTTCAAAACTAGTTTAAGACAGATAATCACATTTCTATAAATGCCTGGGAGCATTCTTTGTCAGGTAAAATAAACATTTTTTTTCTATGCTTTAGAATGAGGGTTGAAACCCTCCTTTGCTTCCTGAACCTGCTTTAGCATGAGGGTTGAAACCTTCCTTTGCTTCCTGAGCCTGCTTGCGCAAAATTTTAAGGGAGTGTGCTATCCAGGGGATGCAAAGGTCTGAATGGAGTCAGCTCATTTGGATTCATAACTTGGCTTTACCATTCACTACCTGTGACTGTGGGCATGAGGCTTCAGACTTCTGAGGGTCGACTCCCACATTTGTAAGATAAGAGTAGTAACAGTGTCCTCCTCCTGGGGACACAATGGTATCCTCCTTGCTCTCTGTGATAACACATATAAAAGCTTAGATATTAATAACAATATGATCTTAAAGATAGGGATAGTGACAAATTATTTGTGCAACAAATAATACGAGAAAAGGAAAGGACTATCAATCATTTGTGTTTCCTTTGGCACTGGGTAGATGCCAAAGGATAATAAGCAAAAGTCCCTGCTTCTAATGAAGTTAATGTATACACACATATGTGCGTATGCACACACACACCTTCGTGGAAGGATTCAGAGGAGAGAGAGCTCATTCTCAGCCTTGTTATGGAAGGAGCTTCAGTTCCTACTGGGCATTGAAAGGTGGATGGGATTTTGATAGATGGTGAAAGCTGAAGTATGTTGTTATAATGTGAGCAACATAAACAGAAGTGGACAAACCTAAGTATAAAGGATTCTAACAAGCTCAATGTGACTAAGTAGAGCTCATCTAAAGTTGATTTGGATCAAACTGTGAAAGGCTTTACATTGCACATTAAGAAATTTTGGCTTTATTGCATAAGCCACGGGGAGCCACTGAAGACCCTTGAGAGAAGGAACTTTACGTGATCAACGTGTCTTTTTCCTAAAAAGGAACCTGGATATATGCATTATATACCATATGAGTGAGGTTGACAACCACTTGATGGATATTATCAAAAATAGTATTTGAAATATTTAACGGCTTGTGGTCCTCCAAATATTTAATGGTCAGTTCATTTAGGACACTCAGAATGAATCAGCCAGACTCCGCTATTAATCACACTCTTGTCATCTCTATTTGGATGCATCTCCTTCTCCACTTGTATAAGACGTATTTCCTGTTCTTCCCCATAAAACTTGTCTCCCTCATCACAGTCAATGGCAACTTTCATGATCTATAGTTTACAAATCTTGGAGTCGATATATTTGATTCCTCTTCCTCTCATAACCTGTATCCAATTTATCTGAATATTTTGTAGGCATTTTGAAAACATACAAGAAGGGAGAGCAGCACATTGGCACTAGACCCTAGAGGCTTCCTCGGTTCAGTGAGGGAGTGGCAGGGTCCAATAGACATAACTTTTTTTTTTTGAAATGGGAACTTTAGTGTTTGTGTCCTAATTTCATTCACATGAACATTTTTAGAGAACATCCAGTAATGGCTGAAATCTGTCTCTGTGTTATATCCTCCTTTTATGTCACCTTGGGTAAGATGCTTCATATCTTTGCACTGATCAAGCCCCCCTCAGCCCTTAGGTGCAATAACCTAATAGCCTCTGTGCTTCCACTCATGCTCTTCCCCCCACCCCCATCCCACCATCTATTATTAATATAGGAGCTATTGTGATTCTTTAAAAATATACCATTTCGGGTCATCCCTCTGCACAAAACCTTTCAGAGACTTCTCATCTCACTCAGAGCGAAAGTAGAACTCCATAGATGGCCCACAAGGCCCTCGCCTGTGCTTCCCTGACTTCTTTCTCACTCCTCTTCCCTTTGCTCACTCTGCTTTCTGTCTTGTCCACACTGCTGCTCCACAAACCTGTTGTGCACCTCCTAGAGCGGTCTTTCCCTTAGATACCTCCATGGCTCACCCCCTCACCTTCAACAGGGGATTGCTTAAATGGCACCTGTTTCTTGATTGTAAGTTGCTCTCCACTCCAGCACTTTCTATCTTTGTTGCCGTTTTTTTTTCTGTAGCACCATATATAACACACCATAGATTTTTCTCCTTTGTTGCCTCCCACCATTAGAATGTAAACTCCACTGATAATAATTTTTGTCTGTTGTGTTCATTCCATATTCCTCAAATCTAAGATAATGTCTATTATTTTAGTGCCTACTCAAGTACACAAAATGCTCAGGACACCCATAAAGCCTCCTCTCTACCCAAAACTAAATCAAGAATATTCCTGAATCAGCTGTCTTCTTAAGATATTATAAAAGATCTAAGGATCAAAACCTTCAACTTTTTGGCCTCCAAACTAGGAAATCACCTGTCCTTCAGATCCCAAATTTGGGCTTGGACCAGGAGAGTCAGGTGAGAGAAGTGTCCCAAATTCTATAACATCATGGGAGATATAAGCTTTTGTCCCCCCAGCTTAAAACTCTGAAGCAATTCCTTCAGGAAATTTAGAAATGTTGCTTGAAGTCTGTCCCTACTATTCACTTTTAGTTTTTAGTGCATATCAAATATATCATAGGGCAAATTGGTTTTTGCTGACTAGTCTGTAGTCTTAATGAAACTGAAGACTTCATGCAACTTCCACGTCTGAAGATTTCTCAGGGTTTCACAAAGCAGCAAA